GTAGTATTTCAATGTTGTTGCTGAGGGGTGGTCAAATTTCTACTAGGAGTTCCCAAATCTACAGGATTCTTAATGCATATAATTAGGACAAGAGATCAGCCAGTGGGTGGCAAAATGTTAATTATTTTAGGATTTCAAAAGTTTCCAGGTTCTTGACACTCAAGCTGACTCCTACAAATGAAGTAATTACATTTTTTTAGCAGCGTTTCTGTGTGTTTATTTGATCCCATGGCTATCAGACACCTGACTACCTGGGTCTCCACCTCTGTTCCATTTCTAATTTCACTTCTACTTGGCTTCCTGTGACAATGTCCTGATGGCTTCATGGACACGGCAATGTCACTACCATTTCATAGCTGTGTGGTTCAAGTAGATATCACTAATATCTAATATGTATTTCTATCACCAAAATTCCATATTATTTTAGAATTATCTACTTAAACATATATACTAATAAAATATAAACTCCAAGAAGATAGAGGTTTATATTCTATGTTGCATAATGCTGTATTCTTACAACCTCAGAACTGTGTTTGGCATATAGTAGGAACTGTAATATTTATTAAATGAATGAAGGTATATATCATTAATTTCAAACAGAATGCTCACTCCTAAGCATGCTTAAGTGTTCAAGAAATGTTTATAAATGAAAAACAAACAAACAAACAAACAAAACCACCTGGAGTCTTTTAGTTAAAGTGTAGCTAAATCATCCTAAACTAGGAGTCTTAACAGGAATATTGGAAATCAGCAAATTTCAAGTTGCATGATAATTTTGTTAATGAAAATCAGGAGAGACAAAAACTTCTATTTTCTTATAGAATGACCAATCACTCTAATGTCATCTGAAGGTGAAGAGAAGAGGTGGTCATCTGGGATACAGAGGTAATGACCACCTATTTTCCACTCAAGAATGCTCTTGTCTGGGTATTAATTAAATATGCTCTGATCATCTGTTTCATTCTGTTCCTTATTTTTGTTGTATATCAAAAAATATAGCCATTGTACAATAAAGAAAGTACTCTGAAAAACTGAATAAGTTCTTATTGAAATAACTCCTCAAAATAATTGCATAGATTTTTATTGCAGAATAAAATGACTATTTTAAAATTTAGTTTTATAAACTTGGCTTCAAATAAAGAATATTATCTTTATGCTGTAATTTAAAATTATATACTGACAAACCTTAATATTGGGAGATTTTGTACTTACATGCATTCCATGAATAAAATAAAAAAGATTCACACTGCTCTAACAATGGGAAAATTAAATTAAATTATGAAAACATTATATTATAAAATAGATAAAGGAACATCACTTTATTGCTCTCAAGTTCCTAAAGCATGCATGTTCAACAGCACAGGACTCAGGAGATATCCTTGAGTGAATTATTTTGATTAATAGATTTAAATACCTTGCGTTCTACTAACCCATTTCTTATAAGTAAATATTTCTAGCAAACATCTGAGAATAGTTCATAATTTTCATTTTCTCAGTATGTTTCCATAGTAGGCAGCAATCTTATTGACACTGATAAATTGTTCTGAACATATTTTTTATAGAAAATTACAAAGTAAATTTCAACAACATGCTCTGAAGTCAGAGATTCAGGGTTCAAAGTCTGTCTTCCTTTACTCAGATTTTGACATATTATTAGTCACCCTACATGCAATATTTTTCTCTCTAAAATGGGGAAATGACAGTTCTCACATAGGAATAATGTCAAGATTAAATGATAAAAATGTAGGTAACGTGCTCAGCATAATGCAAGAACTGAGAAAGGAAGTGATCATTTATTATTAGTATCAGTAGTGGTAGCAGTAGTAATATTGGCAAAGATCCAGTCTAAATTGTCATAATTCTTGAACTAGCAGAGAAATAATAAGAAAAGGAAATTTCACAATATTTTGACAAATGTTGAGACAAATGCAAAAAAACATTCTGAGTTTCAGTGCTTGCTATCACTCTAAAATTATATTAAAGTATAGAAAATTGAATTAAATTCTTGTCTGATAAATGCAATTGCATGACATGTGTTGTTTTGAATGTCTGCACTGTTGCAAACTGTCCTGTATCCATGCTTTTAGCTATTTAATGGATAAATTCAAATATGCATAATCTATTGATTTGGTAATATAGTGAATATTAAACTAATCTGCCAAAGTTCAGCTGAGAGACCTAGGACTTTCTATTATCTATCAATTAACAAATCCCAGCTCTGTTTCCTGGGGGCACTGAAACAGGTACAAAACGTTCCCACAATGCAGCTCTGCTCCTGCAGTTCTGCCCACCAGGTGCACCATCCTCACAATGGTCTATCTGTCCCAACTACTGGTTTAGACATCTTTGCATCATGAAATCTTCTACAGCCTGGACATTACCATGATTTCTTCCTCTGAGCATTTACAGCAGTTACTACTATAATTTGGTAGCCATGAGTCATATGTGGATAATTAAGTTTAGACTTAAATGAAATGAAAACTTCAGTTCTCCAATCATATTAGCCACATGTTAATTTTCTCAATAATCACATGTGGCTGGGGGCTACCATACTAGCTAGTGCAGATGGAGAACATTTTCATATCTGCAGAAAGTTGTAGTGAATAGTACAGATAAGAATTTATCTTCTGCAAGCCTATTTCCATTCAGGCTATACTAAGTATGTGAGATGATACAGTCATGAAATGAAGAACGAAAAGGTCAAATAAATTAAATAAACCTTTAGTTAAATTTGCATGTACATATTAAGCATGTGCTGAATTTCTGAGGTCATTTAATAAATTAATGCAAACTATAATGTTCCAGGGTGGACTATAAGTATATAGCTTCTCAAAATTGTGTTATAACATCCCCTAACTCATCCCACAAAAAGAACAACAGAAACGTCTCCAGGGAATTAAAAACTTAAGAAAGAATAAGCACCAGCAATCTTCAAAAAGAAATGTGGGTACACCTGAGCAGAGAGGTGTAACATAACTAGGTTGCAATTTCTCAACTTCCCCATGTAATCTGCCCCATAATATTCCCCCAAACAAGATTTCATGTTTCACCTTCAATAGTAATTTCTCCCTCACATTGCCAAAGAATGGTATACTTCTCTGTTCACCGGAAACTAACCTTGGCCATTGCCACAAAGAAACACCTGGGATTACAAAAGAACAATTTCAACAGTTCAAAATCATTGTCACTTGTAAAGTTTCTTGCAATCAATGCATCTAACCTCTTAAGAGGCATTGCAATAAGATTTTACCTTGTTTTTAATAATGATATTAAAGCATATATAAATAATTATGTCATTTCAATTAATGGTGCACCAGTATTAATGACAAAAATTCAATTCAGAGGAAAATGTAAGCATTTATTGACTTTTGATGGTGGGAAACTTAAAAACTTCAAATCATATTGTACAAAAGTGTTAGAATTTTCTGAGGCACTGGAATAGAAATTCAAAGAGAACAAAAGAAGTTCTAGGAAGAAGAACAATAAAATATGTGAATGATTATCTTGCTTTTATTTCTTTTAGAATTAGTTGTGGCACTTACATTCCACCAAATACATTTAAAAAGAACAACCAAAGAGATTTGTTTTAAAATGCTAACATTTGGAATGTTCTGCAAGTTATGATGGTTTTGCAAACATATTTAGTTATGAAATAACGCCTTAGATGCTAATTTTAAAATGTTAGGTGAGTGTGATTTTTGAAAATTCCTTCTTTATCAATAAACCATTTTTTTTTGTTGGAGTTCTGAAAAGTTGCATCACTAACCTATATTGTGTGTTTACTGTGAGTGAGACATGTGACCTGAACATATCAAAACATTTAATCCTATCAAGACTTTTTAAGGTTGATACTGTCATCTTTGCTTACTCATGAGGAAACTGAGGCACAGATTTGTTAAGTGATTAAACTAAGGTTATCTAACTGTTGGGAAATGAAGCCAGAATTTACCCCTGATCAGGCTGAGGTTCAAACTCATGCTGTTATCTACTTACAGCACAATGTTTACTCCCTAAACATTCTTTTCCTGCATAAATGTTCAAGTGTTAAAAAAATTATTTTCCCAGCTAGGTTTGCAAGACTTGGAAGTGAATACCATACCATAAACTTCTTCATGTTTCACAATAAAATACTTTAGTTTTAAACATAAAACAAACTTATTCAATGTTTGCTGACTATAGATTTAGAAGTTTCAAGAATTTTTATTCTCTATATAATAATTTCAAGCAGTCCTCTTAAAACATCTACAATTTATGAGTAATAGCTATCCCATTTTTGGTAAGGAAACTAAGCTCATATATATGATTGCCAAAAATCAAAATACATGAAACAAATTTATATATAATTTATATATCTAAGACTTGTGATAACGGTTAATTTTATTTCTGTTTACAGAAATAAAATGTTTCTCATTGTTTGTAGTTTTCTATTTAGAGTTTAAAGTGTTCCTACTTAGATTTCAATTTGTTCACATATTACTCTTGTAATAATGGAATAAAGTAATATTTGTTATGAAGACACTATTTGGAACTCACAAATACATCAAAGGGAAAAGAACGGAATGCAAAGGATCAAGACATGGGAACATCCACACAGGGTGTCTGGCACATGAGGCGGGTCAGAAGGTTTGGCTGACCCCTTGAGGGGTTTCTTCTTACCTGGTATCAGGAAGCCACAGGGCCCTGGCAACCCTAAGAGCAGGGCACATGCTCAGACAAGGCAAAAGCAGAACATTTTACTTGTTAGAGACTACGAAAGGAATTTCCAGAAATTGTGCTTCTATCTAAATCCTCTAGAAAACTTAGTCATTTCCGCAATGTATCTGAAAATTCTAGTTCTTTGGTTGGGCATTTGAGTAACAGTTCTTTCTTGTCCAAGAACAGAGATAGAAAAAGTCATCATTTACTGGGCTTATCAGCTAGAACTTAGAAGTCTAGCTGAATTTTTCTTTTTGAATTAAAAGTGATTAAAAAAAAGATGTGCAAATATTTAAAAACCATACCTTGACATGTAAATTTTTTGGAGGGAGTTGTGAGTAACAGTTTATCTGCCATTTCTCCAGGACCAGCACAGCGAGCAATTCCAGGTTCCTTATACTCCGACTTCACCCAGTCGGAGAGCCACTGCATGTTACAATCACAGTAAAGAGGGTTGGCTCCAATTGCTCTGGAAAAACAACACCACAAAAGCACACACACACACACAGTATGGAAGCATTGTTATTTCCTAAGGGAACAGAATTCAAAGTGATGCTCAGTAGAAAATCCCAAATAGCCTTATTGATAATAACACTTTAGAATAAAATGGAGACATTGGGGAGTCCCAATTTTCCTGAACCATGAGCATCTGGGGGATTTAGTGAGTTGTCACTAATGTTAACACTTCCCTGAGCTTCACAAGGTCTCCTCATACTTTCAGAGACAAGGTTGATGTTGTATATAAGTACACTCTAAAGGCATCCTGCATTTACTAATTATTTACTATGAACTCAAATCCCTATGAAAGGTTCCGAGGACTCAATGAATGAATAAAGCATCATTCTTAACTCCAAAGAACTCCTTGTGCTGAGGAGATGAGTAAATAGTCAGGCACAAATAATTTTCATTTGAAAATTATTTATCACTGCTATAGTAGAAGTATTCTCAAGAAGCCTACAAACAGAGACTACTATTTTTGGGGGCGGGGAGCTAATGTTTTGAGACAGTCTAACCTACTTGGGACAGATGGAGTTAAGTAGATGGGAAAGGTTGGAAGGATAATTCAGGTGAGGGTAAGTGTCAACACACAGAGATACTAAATGGCATGAAATAATCAAGATACATAAAGCTAGTCTAACAGAGCTGGATTGGACGATCTGTCATTTCACAAAGTCTTTCATTTTAGGACTTTGGTTCTGACTCACATCAGGAGTTGTAGTGATAGAAAAGTAGTTAAGATAATAGTTGATTTTTTATTACACTATACTGTCTATAGGAGCTGGGTTATGCCATCTGTACCAACTACACCATCTTATTTTAAGTGGTAATTTTTATTAAGTCAATAACATTGGAATTACTTTACAGGTTAAGAAACTGAGTGAAAAGTTAATTGGTTTGTTCACAGATTTGCAAAACTTGGTCACAAGTAGAAGATACATAAAGCAGCATTTAAAAACTGATTAATTCTGATTTACAATTAACTTCTGATTATTGATATTTCTAGGTCTGGAGTTCAAGTATACTTGATCTTATTCTTTTTGTCAGAATCTCTACAACATACTTAAAATCATCTTTTATATCATAGCAATTTTAATGCCCGACTTTAAGCAAGAATTGGAATATAGTAACTGTTTTCTTCAGATGTATGTCAGATGCAAGTCTTTCTAAATTAAAAATGAGCAAAATCATGTTTTTGAACCACTTCATCTCATTTTCACTGACATTCACCAAATCCTTGCTATGACAGGAGATGAAGTGGGAAAAGGGAATGGAGCAGAGGTTTTTTATCATCTCAGCCATAAAAGACAAATGCATGAATGAAATACAAGAGAGGATAGGGCACATGACAGAGAAGGCTCAAACTGCACTTCTTGTGGGAGGGAGAGGCTCACACAAAGACAAGGTTCTGCTCAGCTCAAGCAGCACACTTCCTGTGTAGCTATTTTTAATTCATGACCCTAACTCCAACACCAATGTCCACTTTCCCCTTTTTGATGTGCCCTCTGCCACACAGGGTGGCAATCCTACGCCCCTGAGCTAAGGGATTCATTCATTATATCTCATGCAGATGGAAGCCATGGAGTTTGTGATACTGACTTTGAGGTAGGTCTGAGGGCTCAAAGATTAAAAAATAAATAAAAAAAAATGGAGGTTTTGTCTCCTGGTACCTAATAGTCCAATGGAAGGAATATGAACAGTAGAGAGCAGTCTGACAGATGGATTAAAAACTCACACTGATAACAGCCCCAGAAAAGCAAAAAAAATTATTGACTATTGGATCCTACTCTCCAAACATCCCTCTTTCCTCGTTTTCTAACTTTCTTATCTTATTGAAATTTTGGAGATTTAGAGGGAAGTGCAAAGCTATGGGGGAACATGGCAGGCGAACTTCTAGGGAATTGAGGCCCAACTGACATTCATATTTAGGTGGGAGTAGGTTGACTCTTACCAGGTGATATCAAATTCAACATCACCAAAGGACTTTCTGGAACCTTGCAGTGATCCCTGCACTTCTTAAGTTTGTCAAGTTATTATACCCAGTAAAAACAGAACACTGGAATTCTACACAAGTGAGTTTTGTGAACCCTAGTTATCACATATATTTTAATTGCTTTACTCTGCTTTCAAGAAATATGGACCTAAATATGGGCAGTTATGAATGTTAGCACAAAGAACATTTCAACCAGTATCAACATGGTTATTTACCACTACCTGACTATAAAGTCAGTTTAAACCATGCCGGCTTATTTATTTATTTATTTATCTTTTTTTTTTTTTTTTTGGCATGATGCCATATTAAAAGCTAGGTAAAAAAATGAGTTCAGTTTGGACAAACTAGGGAAGGCTTTTTGGAAGATGTAATGCTTGGGATGTGACTCAGAACTGTAGGGTTGGACCAGGGCAAGTTCAAGGGAAGCTGATACTCTAGAATCAGAAAGCAAAGGGAAGAGAAAAAAGGCTCCTTGTGTTAGAGAGCCATGTCTGTAGAACACACGTTAGGTAGCAAAGAAAACTCAACTAATTTAGGGTAAAAAACAAGGGTAAATTAAAGCTGTCTTGTAGTGGGCATCATATCCAGGTTGAAAATCTCTACATTTTCTTTAAAGATGAAACCAGTCACATTTTACAATGTTTCAATAAAAGTAGCGGTAAGAGGGCTATTCCAAACTCAGGGGTAGTCTGACCCTTCACCCAAATTCATGAACTAGGTACTCACAAGTGTGATAATGCTGAAAGATCATTGAAAGCACCTTCAGGCACAACAGAAATGTCATTTCCATGTAGAGAACTGAAAGCAAGAGAAATTAAGATTAAATTTCCTACATTTCAGAAAGTTCAGACCCATGAATGTATGAGGCTTTGGTTTATAATAAGCATTTTAGCTTGTTGAAAAAACAGATTATCCTGCAACTGGATATCCTTTTGGAAAACGCAAAGGTGGTTTCTACCTTACATCTTTTACACATTATAAATCCCAGATTGAAGACTTAAACATACAAATAAAACTAACAATGTATTAAAACAAAGCACACTCCATTATACAATCATGGGACAGAAAAGGCTTTCAAAAAATGATATAAACCCAAAACCAGAAAGGAAACGAGTAGCAAATTTTTATAATATAAAAATACATCCCTGAGGTAATAGATTCCATTTATAAAACAGAATGGGAAATATTTGCAAAATTATCAGATGCAAGGTTAATTCCTTTATAAAAAGACCTAAAAAGTACAGTCAAAGTAGTAAGTACATAATGACATCTACATTAATACTGAAAAAACAAAGTACCTAGTGGGAAATGGGAACATGATATGATCAGGCTTCATTAGAATAAGAAGCACAAATTCTCAGTAAATAAACAAAATATACTCAAATGCTTTTGTAATTAGAAATGCAAATTGAAACAGGAACGGAAAACAATTTTCAATCTGTCACATAGAGAAAAATAAAAGGATTAATAGTATTCAGTGTTTGCAAGAGTGCTTTGAATAAGGTACTCTACCAAGCAGTTGATGAAAAAATAAATTTGTAAATCAAGATAATCTTGCATGGCAGACAGCTTGACAGTTACTTTTGATATTCTCTCTAACTACTTAACAGTACCTTCCCATCCTAAGTCATTGCTAAAATGCCACAATGCCCGCACCAAGGTGAATGCACAGAATGTTCACCAGAGTATTGTATATGATAATGAAAATTCACAATTAAACCAAATGATAGTGAAGACGATAATGATTACCTAAGTTATGTTTCCTCAACCTATGGAATACTCTGTACTAGTTAAACAGTCCAGTAATCTCTAGGCATTATAGAATAGAAACATTCTAAAGCACATGTTACAAAAAAAAAAATAGCTAATGGCAGAACAAGAAAAGATCCTCTTTATGACTTTTAAAAGTTATATAGCTGTGGGGAGAAATATAATAAGACATAAAAACAAATGTTTATAAAGAAAGACCAGATGGGCACCTCAAGCTGTTTTAACTGTTAATTATGAGGAAGGGGAGTGGGAGTGATGTTTTATTTTATATAAAGTACATTTTTGAGTAAAAAAATGTATTCATGCACTATGAGATTTCTAAATAAAATAAGTTTATTGCTTCAGAAATTAATTGGAGCTATATAAAATGCCCATTTTAATGTTATTTCTTATCAAGCAAATGGCTATGTAGCAACAAGTATTACAAAAGAGAAAGTCATGCTGTTCCCATTGAAGGTATAGAAATTTTTCTTTCCAAACTTATGGTGAATCCTAATGCATCTATCCTGACATAGTCAAGTATCAATAAAACAGTAAAAATCACTAAAAAGACAGCTCAAAACTCAGACCATAGGGTAGAGAGGTATTTGTTGAAGCCGGGATACTTACAGTAATCTAAGAGACTTCAATCCATCGAAGGTTCGTGAAGGAATACATCTCAGACGGTTGTAACTGAGAATTCTGAAAGTATACATAAGCCTATTTACTTTATCCAGGAATCCAATAATGCCCCAATGTCATATTTTAAATAAAGCAGTTAACAAATTAATTCTTTGAGTATCTTATAAATCGAGAATATTTACACATGATATACATTATCTTTGTGTTGTCTCTCTAACATGACCTCAAATACTTCCCTCTGCCTGCCCTTCCCTCAACCATTATCTCCCTAAGATCATTCCAGAGGCCAGTGGTAAGGATCCCCACAACCCTCCCACAAGCATGCTAAATTACTCTTTTTTTTCCCTGAGACCCCAACATTTTCTGTAAAATTTGCTCTTGTTTGAGGCTTGGCCTGTTTCTCCAAATGAAATTGATATTCCTTGAGTACAGAGATTCTTTCCATTCACGAGGATGGCCAGCACTGGGTAAATGTATTTTTGACCCATGACATAATGAATACACAGTACCACACTTTCACACTCACAGGGTGAGAAGCTGGGTCATGTTGCTGAAGCTTTGATTGGAAAGGGTGCTTATTCTGTTGTTACTTAAGTCTCTACAGGAAAAAAAAAATAAAAAAGACACAGAGTCTTATTAACCAAAATAGAAATATTATTGATCTTAGACAAGGCTCTGCCTGTTAATAGTCATACCAGTATTGTTAGCATTTTAATACTATCTGAAAATCATAAAACACTGGAATACTCTCTGGGGTAAATTACAACGTTATTTATATTTATTCGCATCCTGTACTGTTCAAATCAGTAGTGAATATATTTTGTGTCAGCCAATGAAGCATGAGCACAATGGCCAGTCTCATTTGGAGCAGAAGCTTGAGAAGGAGTTTTTCCCACATTCCTCTGCTACTGTTTCCATAGACTTGGGCTGTTCTCTTCTACAGAGAGCTTTCTTGGAGGTGACACACAAGAGACGTACCTTACCGGTGAAGAATAACCTTTGATCTTGAAAGTCCCATCAGATACACATACTACATCCTCACACATGTTCACTGATACAGATATTCAAATTTGATAACTAAAAGGACCCTAACTTCATCACATTCACAATATCATCTGCTCTTATCTAAGTCACTCACTAGTCCTCAATAAATATTTATTTAATGAATTATAAGTAAAAGAGAGATGCTAAATTTTTACCAGTGCTAAATAGCTATTTATAAGTATAGTTGGTACTATGTGTCATAACTTATATGAATTTAATTTTATTCTTGTTACATATTTATCTTTATTTATATATTCACTATATATCTAAACATTATGTGCATGCACTATTTTTTTTTTCTGAAGCAAAATCCAAAACATAAAAAAAGGAAGATTCAGAAAAAAGGAGGATAAACTTTTCCTTTGTTAAAATACATAAATATCAATAAAATTTTGATATTGGATTTGACTTATATAATTTGAAAATGGTAGGAATCTTATAGTATTTTCAGCTGCTTAAATACCACACCTAAATTTAAAAACAAATGTATCTAATTTAGCAAAAGATATTTGTATAATCAGTCACTGGTAAAGCCATTTCTGGGTTCATAAATCTTATTTCTCATTTCTAACTAGTTTAAAATAATTACATGCTGTCCCTCAAATGCTCCGAATCTAGTAAAGTGATCCTTTGGAAATTGAAGCAAGTTTACTTTTTTTTTTTTAAACAGAATAAAACACATGCAACTGGTTCTTGCTTTCAAATAAATAACTAGAAACAGAACAGGGCACATTAGAAGATGGTCTTTGATCTTTAACCATTTGTCATTGATATAGTCTATACTACATTTAGAATGTTTGATTTTGCATATTTTATAAAAAACTGAAAGAGATGTTCTGCATGTTAACTCACCTCAATGTATCTAGATAAAGTCTACACTGGGATATGCAATGTTTTCTGCTCTTATAGATTCCTAGAAGTCACTAATTAGTAATAAACCTTCTTATTCCAGGAACACTAGCAGTCTTCCTCTGAAACTAGTTTTTATACTTGAAAATGAAATAGACTTGAACTAATAAGGTTTTTTTCCATTAACAACTATTATCTTTCTTGTTGATTTTTCTGTGCTCCAAAAAACTCTATCCATTACCAAAAAGGCTACTACTCTAAAATGTGACATTATACAAGACTGTATATATTATAATACATTGTGCATATAACCAGATCAAAATTATTCTATATTTAAATATCTACTTACATTTATAATTATAGTTAGAAACATTGTTTACATTAATGAATGAAAGACATTACTTTTGGAGGACAGCAAACTAAATTTAAAAAACTTTAATATTTTGAAATTTATTCTTAGAATCTCAGTATCTTTGTTTAGTTTTCTTAAATCTTACATAAATATATATGGGTTTTATAAATTAAATTTTAATACTCTTAACCCATAACTTACTTTACAATGCTTTAAATAAGAAACTTAAACCTAATAAACAAAATTTATAATGTATTTTCATTTAAGTTATTATGTACCATCTTTTGCTCAAAGTCAAGACTAAAGACATTGTTTTACTTCTCTTTCTTTCAACTTGTCTTATAAAAAAGCCATTACTAAAAGAAGTATTCAGTTTTATTGTTTCTATAATATTTTGACTATTTATATTTTATTTTGTTCATGCTTCTTTGAATAGAAGGAAAAATTCTTCCAAGACATTCTATCTCCTGATTTATATTCAATGAAGATGTAGCTAGTGACCCAGGACCACAGTGATCAAGGAGGAGGGAAGCAGCTAACTGTAAACAATTTATGTTACCTGAAAGGTTCACTGAATCTTCTACCCATTCCACTTTTATAAAATAGAATAAGTTAAAGATGTAAAAATGATGTTACTTACATAAGTGTTAAATGTTTGTAGTTAGAGAGTTCCTTGGGAACCAGTGTAAATTGATTCCCATCCAGATATCTAAAAACAAAGACATAATATTACCTTCTTATAAAGTAACAGGTGTGAATTATAAAATAAGTGAAGGGTATTTTAACTGAGGTAAGGTATTTTAACTGAGGCAGTCTTTTTCCCTTAATATGTTGTACCCCATTCTGGAATCATTATTGAAGAGAAGTAAGGAGAAAAAAACACATTTGTCCAATCTAACAGAATTCTCTGTGGATCATTTAGGCTAAATCATAAAACCAGGAACAACTTGTGCACCCAATGCTTTGTGGCTAATCTAGCAAAGAAGGTGAGCATCCAATCAAGAGTTGGTAATAAGGTTCATGCAGTGCATTATATTTTAATTGGCCTCCAGTTTACTTTCATTTATGTGGCAACAATGCCATGAAATTCAGCAACTAGTAACAAAACCCAGCTGCTGTGGCCAATATTACACTCTTCACTGCCTATTTATGTATTAATGCACTTAAATGTGTGCAAATAAAATGGGCAGTTTTAAGGAGCTATTTGAGTATTTGGAATTAATCAGGCTTAAATTAGAAATATTTTTAGAATAGTTTTTACCACTATATATTTGCTTATTGATAATAATTTAGATTTCTTAGAATATTGTGAAACTGATTCAGTATACAAATATAGCAAATATATCTGAAAGTACTAGAGAAGTAATCAAATATAAGTACATTTTCTCTTTCTTGTTAAAGTCAGAAGAAGAATCAGAAAATAGGCTTTCCGTTAAATGATAAGACACAAACATAAATGAATACAGAAGTTATAACCATGATATCACAAAAAGAAAAGTACATTTTATCTCCTCCTTTCCTAGAATTAAGATGGTGGAGGATACAGTTGACTTCTTTCAATTTGGGCTGCTTGGCCATGGATGCACCTGCAAATGATTCTGCCACATCAGGAAAGTGGCCTTCCTATCCAGTGTAGTAGCCAATCTCGAGATTCCATTTAAAAGTTGGAATTTTGCTGGATATAGAATTTGAGAAGTTGCCTATGCTACCAATCCATTTTTAATATTTCAAAATGAAAACATTTATATAAAAGGGATGAGTTGTCTAAACATGTAATGGATGTGTGATTCACAGTTGGAACATGTTATGCCTCCTGATACTTGCTCAAATGACTTCATGTTTTTGACTCCTTCCTGTCTTTTAGCTAAGTTTTCCTTGTTTCCACTAGAGGGAGGCATCGTTCCATATACTTCAGCATGCTGCTTTTACTCCAGGAAATGTCACAGCAGAAGGACAAAAGGACTCAGGATGTGAAAGTTTACATGTAAACAATCTAAGGAGAGTTAAATGGAACTGATTAAAAGTGATGGACAACATTTGTTCAGGCTTGTCCACCAATATATACTTATTTTGCCAAGTTATTTAACCATTTAATAAAATAGACATATGAGCGATTTCTAATATATGCAAATATGTTAGTAGAATGAAGGGTCTTGCTGACTTGGCGAGGTTCTAAGGAGAAGCTCTCTGGGAGGTAAACGTTGAATTCTAAGAGGTGAGTTAATATTCTCATCTCAATAACCAGCTTTGTCTAGAGAAAAAATACCACTTTTTAATAATTTGTTCACTTTTTAATAATACTGGTTCATAGTTCCGTAAGGATAAACATAAAACAGAGGCAAAATGGCTCAACTGGATTTATATCAAACAGATTGAAAATTCAACTTATGGCAGAAACATAGATGATATAGACAGGGTGAATCAAGCAGGTTTTCAATGGAGCTTGATATAGAAATTAAAGAATGTCTAAAACCATTTGATGGGATGGGGGCCAAAGGCCATTTAAAATTGTCTAAAGAAAGATTTAGCATCAAAAGTGATCTAAATGTTATGCTCCTCCCTGGACTGTTTCTAAAATTGAGGTTTTGTGTACAGAACACTGTATAGGCAGAGGGAGGTCTGTGGGGCCCATGTGGTCTTTAGAAATAAAAACATACTAAAACAAGGATGAAGTATTTAATTACACATATATAAAGCAGTGCTTACAGCTAATTAACTACTGTGATTGGTAGTAAAAGAACACTCGACAGCAGTTCAAAGATAAAAGGGATGTTGTGAGCACATGTGCTCAAATCGTGCCTGTGTTCTCTAAATGTGCCACTCAAGACCAAAATAGAATCTGTGAACAGGACATGATTCGAAAATAAGTTCCTTCTTTATGTTGTACGTTTCCAAAGCTTATCAGAGCTGCCCATTTAATGCTCACATGTGTCTGCATGAATTTACAGGTACAGTTCTACACTAATTACATGTACATTTAAATCATTACTGATTCACAGTTCCGTAAGGATAAAAATAAAACAGAGGCAAAATGGCTTAGTTGGATTTATATCAAGCATTTGCACACCAAATTTTAGTTTAGAGATAAAAAAATTGGAATGAAAGGAGCAGGCAGGCTTCATTATTCCAGCAGCACAGTCCCTGGTTTATTCTATTCTGCATATGTAGCAAGGATGCAGCCAGGCAAGTATGGGCAGAAAGTCTGAAGTAGGAAGGTCTAGGTATGCGGAAATTAGACATGTAATTTGTATTTATATATTGATTATGGAAATGTCAGGGATAACTGGCCTTGCATCCTTTAGGATCTAACAGTCTTTGATTTAGGAACAAAACATCAAATGCCTCTTTTTATGGGCAAAGGTTATGCCTGTTACTGCTACCTCTCAGATAATTATTTATCTTACATGTGAGATGCTGTCGCAGGGGTTATACAGGTGAAGAAGAATTAACCATATGGAATATCCTAGACATTGTAAATAAATTAACTTTAAGCATTTACCAAAGTGCATTCAATGCGACATTTCTCCTATAAAATGCTCAATGTATAAAGGGATATAGGGTTGGATAAGAGCGGGAGTTACCCAATATTTTACCATTCTCACTTGGAGCTTAATGCTGAACCTCAGCGTAATAAAGGCACTGAGAAATCCTACTGTGGAAAAGGGAAAACACACCCAACCAGCAATTCCCAATTACAGGTTTACAGTTTTGCATGATAATTATTAACCATTTTTAGAATATAATTTGCAAACAGGATTCTAAAGATTCTTGTTTGATCTTCGTTTTCCTTGGTGTGTAAATCATTAATTGTGAGGGAAAGGGAAAGATGGGTGCTACTTACAACTCTGTGACATCTCTTGGAATACCTTTGGGCAAGACCTTCAAGCCCTTGTTGCTACATCGGACCACTGTATCCAAGCAAGTACATTCCGTAGGACAGCGAGAGAGTGGGGAACAGCTGTTGTCATCATTTCCTAAATGAACAGAGGAAAGAGCCAGATTTGTGGTTCTGAAGGCCTAAAAGGGCTTTTATGCCATTCAATTAACAAACACCAAGGGTCTGGAGTCATATGATCACTTATGTATAGAGCAATAACTATATACAAATTGATACCACATATTCTATATGCCATTGTTTTCAGACTTCCTAGGGCAGAAGTTCAGAAAATAGTTCACAATTTGTATTACTAATATAACCATATTTGTTCAACTATTTGGACTTTATTTTTACAATTATGGCATATAAATGGACTGAGTTATGGAAAAAACTATACATAGACATTCGTGAAGAGACATAAAGGGGCAGCTTAACTTAAAATGATAAGGAAAAACTGCATGGGTCCCTCACTTTGAAATACAAAGCTCAAATTAGTTCTCTGTTCACTGGTAATAATAATAGAATCTGCTCTCTCTACCTTGAGTGCTATTACAAGAATCAATTGCAATGATAGAGCATTAAAAGCGAAAACTATTACTTTTGTCAGATTTACGAGAACTTCTACTTTACAAGTCAATTGCTTTTCTCATTTGAAAATGGTAGTTCCTAAAAGAGATGCCAAGGATAATAAAGAAAAGTTAAAATGAAGCTATATAAATAGTATCAATCACAAGTTGGAAAGTAGAAAATCTTCTAAAACACTCAGAAACTCACATCAAGAAAACTCGGATGTGAGAGGACAAATCTGAGAAAAGAAGTATCCTGCTGCCAAAACAAAATAAACAACAAGCAAAGCAAAAGATGCACAGTCATCACATGTTGCACAGAGCCAAGGTCTGCTGCACATTCAGGCACTGGTGCATGGATGGGCATGGGAATGCCTGGGACCAAAGATGGCAAGAGTCTCTTACCATCATCACAAGTGAAGTCCTGAATGGCCACGTCCTGGATGGGGATTTCTTTGAGGAAGTATGGTTTCTGGCACCGAGGATTTCCAGTTACAATTCTTTTCTTCCTGAGCCACTCTCCCAACCAAGCCAGGTAGCAGTTACAGTTAAAAGGATTGGCCAAGAGGTTTCTAAGCACCATATGCAAAAAATGCACAGTTTAATTTAGGATTTTATTGTCTTCTCAAAACCCCATGCCATATCTCCCTGTGGGTTTCTGCTGGAACAATTCCTTGTTAGTCTTGTTTTCACATCCCCCATTCACTCACAATCCCATGCGACATATGCTATGTATATTTTTGCTTAAATATTTATGTCTAAAATTTAAACAATAACAACACTTGCAGAAAAGAGAATTCTTCAAATAATTTTCATGTATAAAAGAGAGTGAAGGCAGCAATTTGGAGTTTATGCAGTGGATCCTGATAGATATCTCATTTAGAAATAATTTAAACTTGTCAGAAATCTTACTTACTGTCAAACTTCCCTAGACTGATAATGCAGTAATTTAATATAAAGATGAAGGCTGATTACCTTATATTATTGAGTTTAACCTGACAACAGCTATTTCATTAATTTGTCATCTCAAGATTCCCATCTCTTATTTGCTCCAGAGAATAGGTTTGCTATCTAAACTGACAGCTGAGTTGATTAAATGCCAGTTATAAAAATGAATTTACTTCTACAAATCTCAATACTTTTGGCATCTCACCACTTCAGCACAAACCTATTGACAATCCCATTATTTATAAACATGCCATCTTTAATATGCACAAATTAGTCACTCCATGTAAAATGTCAAGTTTTATGTGGAAAAAGGATTAAGTACTTTATTGATGGATGGATGTTTCCCTCAAATGACTTCTTCAGTGATTTGAGGTATGTTAAACCTGCTTCCCCATGCCCTCTGTCTTTATTCCCCTCCTATTGAGTTAGGTTAGCATATTTGGAGAACAGCATGACCAGGAAATCATCAGGTATAATTCATAATTTCTAGCACTGTTTTTCAGACACTGATATACCAAAGGCCGGAAATATATTCTTTGGAGGTTTTTTTGTTTTTTGTTTTTTGTTTTTTTTTGATACTTTCCAAGTTCTGTTATAGACATACATTTTTTTTTTATTTTCAAACTGTCTACATAAAATATACTCTTGCACAGACTCAACCTATTTCTTCAACATTTTCCTAATATTATAGTCAATGTCCTCTAGTGAACAGGTTTTATTGTTGGTCTGGTCATCTTAATGTATCTCTTGTCATCATGAATGATTCTTTTGAGCACAGTTTGTTGGCAATAGCCTATCAATTCTGTTTTTATGAGACTTATAATGAAAATACTTCAACGTGAGAAAAATGAGTGAAAATACTTCAACATGAGAATACTGAGAAAAAATATAAAATTGTATTTATTTGCAAATGTTGTCAAGTTGCAATATTTTTAAAATTTAGAAATTAATTTTCATATTGATCCCATTATTAAAAAAAGGACAGAAAATATTAAATATGTTTTTAATTTAATGTAATATTTATAAAAATTAAATTTAACATGAACAAATGTGTCCTTTTTAAATATCTAAGTCCTTGATCACATTTTTATGAAATGTTTAATAATATGCTAAATGCTACTAATAAAAGTAAGAAATATAATACGCTGAGTTGATAACACATAAATAAAGATGCTCTTTTCATACTCACAGAGTAGATAAAGAATGGAGAGTGTCAAATGCCCCTGGTGCAATCGTGGTAATCTGATTGTCATATAAAGAAAGCAAACGCACGGAACTGAGTCCTATGAAACTGTCATTCCCCACACAGCTTATTCGATTACTTCTCAACATCCTGAGGGAGAAAAGGAGGACATTGTTATGGAGATACAGCATCAGACAATCAATTTTGCCTAATTGAGAATCAAAATAATCCCTCAAAAATATGTAGCATTCATTAGTATTTTTTGAATGTTCTCTTGCCATTAGAAATCGTGATGCACTGAGAACATCCAGCAAGAGTAAAATTTTCAGAGTCATCAATGATTAAATTCATTTGCAAAAGGCAGGTGAGCTTGTACGGATTTACAATTCCGTGATGAGGGTTGAAATGTTTTCTTTTTGATGCTATAATTATGTTTGCATGATTACATAATGTCCCAATTCACCTACAGCTCTCTGAGTCCTTGAAGCCCTGTGATTTGTGTATTCATGGTAGTATGACATTTGAGGTTGAGCAGAAAGGAGGGAGAAAAGAATCAATAGCTGTTGCAGATGAGGAACTGAGGGCATCCAGGGACTCAGATAGTGAGTCAATGTCAAACAGTGGCTGGGGAGCCAGACACGACTGAGTATCCATAATGCTTGCACAGACTGTTTTATTTATGAATATGTGTTCATTGTCTCAAGCTCAGAAACTAAAAATGAGGCAAGAGTAACAAACCAGTTGTCCACAATGAAGTTTAAATAGGTTTACCCTGGAAAAACTATGACCATTTATTTTTAGGTATTTTCATTAATAGGATTAACACTGTTGTCATTTCCTCATCACTGCTAAAGACAGCTTATTTCAGAAATCTTTACTAAACTATTTATCTGTGGGGCTTCAAAAGGAGACACATTTTAAAGAGTTTTCTAAAAATCCTGGTTGAATATGGATAGTTGCTATAAATCAGATTCAGAATTCCTGTGCAATCAATGTATTCATTAATTTTTCTAAACATAAGTTAATCACTCTACTAGATGACCTCAGAAAATAAGAGAGGCAAAACCAAATGAACAACCAAGAGTTGCCTTAAAATTCCAGATCAACCTCTAATAAATAAGAATTACACACCTTTGCCTTCTGCTATGTCACTAATTATAATAAAGGATGATGCCTTCCTCATCAAAGCCTTCTCTTACGTTAAGAAACAAATGCACAACGGAAAAGTATTCTCAGCAGCACTTTTCTTTGTCATATAAGAGAAAGCACTTGGTCTTAGTCTTATTCAGAGTCATGGACCCGAGGAGAAGTTGGAAAAACTTTTACTCTGTTGCTGGAAAAATCTGTAAGCACATGTGTGCACCAAATTTAGCTCAAAATGTCAAGGAATTCAAAGATTTGCTGAAATAGGTACATGTATAACTAGTCCTAAAGAGCTGGGAAGTCTAGGATAAATTAGGATGTGTTGTCAAATCTTTAGAGCCCTAAGCTGAAAAAGCCCACAAGCAAGAATAGATTGTTGCAGATAAACCTACTCTAAAATGTTGTGTACTCCAAGTTTGGTGCTAAGTGACTCTACTTTGTGCAGCATAGGAGGATTCAGGAAAGAGTCAGTGGGTGCCTGAATCAGGTACTGAAACATAAGAAGCCCAAACACAGCCAGAGAAGTAAAATGAAAGAAAAAAGGTAAATTTAGACAGCTCCTCTCGGGGAGAGTCCTGTGAATGTCACTAGACAGAAGAAATACCTTGATAAGCATTTTTTGAGAGGTGTTATGGACTGAATTTTGTCCCCTCAATTCATACTATGAAGCCCTCAGCCCCATATGCAACTATTAGAAGAGAGGGTCTTTAGGTTAGTAAAATATTAAGTGCGTTTACGATTGTAGGGCCCTGTTCTCAAAGGACAGAGGAAGAGACAGCAGAACCTTCATGTGTGATGTTTCCTTCTACATGAGCACAGAGGAAAGGCCATTTAGGCATAGCAAGAATGACCTCCACCACGCAAAGGATGAGGCTTCACCAGAAATTCACCCTGTCAAACACCTTGATCTTGAACTTCAAGCCTCTAAGAGTGAGAAACAAATTTTTGCCCCTTAAGGCATCAAATGTGTGGTATCTTGTTGTGGTGGCCTGAGTGAACTAAAACAGGGGGAGTTAAGGCCTGCTCCCCATTCTCTCTCCATAGCCCTCCTCTGCCAAGGAGAAGATCCCAGTAACAAGGTAGTCCCTTAACTGCTATCTGAGAAGAAGGCTGCTTCTTATTGCAGGATTTGTGTTCTGCTGAGCTACCTGGAACAGTTTAGGGGAAGGTTAGACACAACCACCTATGGTATATCTTCTTTACCCTTCTTCTATACATTCTTCACTGTCTTTTCCAAATACTCACTATATGAGTGCACATCTGCATGTCATTATGGATGGGCTCTAAATAAGCCAATGGGAAAGCTATGCAGATCACAGGCTGGTCCTGTTGGATGATTAAGTTCCAGGACATTCCTGAGAAGTTCAAGAAGCACAGATCTGTTCTAGTGCAGAGATTTTTTTTTTTTGGTCACATTTGAACTTGGGACACTGGCTGGGGAAATGGCCTTCTCCTTTTCCTCTGATAAAGAGCTGCAATGGAGTCCCTAGGTGATCAGGTCCAGCCCTCCTGGCTTTACAAGGATTTCAGGGATTAAGGGAGACTGTGAAATTTGGGCCTCTCTTCACTACAATCATCAAAGCTTCTTGTTACAAATGGTTGCCTTCATTCCCTCCAAAGGTTTTAGTTTGGTTTGTTTCTCTTCCAGTTTTCAGGCCACCACTTTGGTCCAACATAACTTGAAAGATAATGAAAATAGATATGTACTGTAGAAAATTCAAATAACATAAAAGTACTATACTTACTATTCAACCCACTTCCTGTCCTCCCTGACCAATAACCTTTTGGAAACACAAAGGATTGCTTTCTCTCAAATTCTTTGCCCTTGAGCAAACAGACACAACTCTCAGTGCCTTTTCTTTGCCACCAGATGGTAATAGATCCAGCACCAGCCAGTGTTTCTTTCACTAAAAACTTGCAGGGGCAGACACATATAGTCTCCAGATTGGCTGTTACAATTCTATGGTTGCAAGGGTTACTGGGAACTGAAATTTCAAGTCATTGGACTAAGAGGGAATATAAGGTATTTGAAGACAAGGAAAGAGAATGATTATTTTTGAATCAGAACAGGTAAGCCAGATATGCAGAGGCACTGAAACAAAGACACATGATTCAACAAGGAGACGAAGGCTTCCCCTGACAACATGCCTATAGCATATTAAGGACAGGAATATTGGAATAAAGGGAAATGTCTGCCTTAACAGAAAATGTGTGTTTGTGTATGTGTGTGTGTGTGTGTGTGTGTGTAAGGGGGGGTATAAGAGAAAGAGAGAGAGAGATGAAACAGAGACTGGGTGGATGGGGGAGGGTAGGCATCTTCTGCCCTCCCAGGATTAGGACGAATAATGGACTAATGAATAATAAAGACTACTTACAAAGTTTTGAGACTTTCCAATCCCTTGAACATCTTATGCCGAACACTCTCCAAACGGTTACTGGTGAGGAGTATTTCATTTACCCCAGATGCTCCTTCGAATGCTCCCTCCTCAATATCTGTGATCTTATTGTTGCTAAAGTTGCTAAAAAAAAATTGTGCAAACCAAGAGTAAATGATTTATTTCTAACAAAGAGGACACATGCTTGACCATTTTTTTTTCTACTGAACAAAGCCTTCCACAATGTCCAAGCTTTTCCAATGCCCAGTACTGCCAGAGTGCTGAAAACCCACCCCTTACCTTATGCATGAAGCCAAAGGGACAGTAACACTAAGACGGAATGTCTATGGCAAAAAATATCAGCCTGATTCATGTCAAAATGATCCCTCCAAATCCTCCAGAGTACAAAATTCTTGAGGCTAGGTAATGGATTATATAATCTCTATGTCCTTTGCAAGGCTCAGTAAGGAATTTTTCATAGAAATATCTCTGATTCAAATTATTTTGTGAATCAGTGGCTAAAAGAGAGCAACTGAATAAGAGAAGGAAGATAGGCTAAAACCTTATTAGCATTTACCTTGTATCAGAAATGTACTTGGATATGGGTATATTCCCAGTTAAACTTCACATGCAATAATTTGTGGAAACAAAAAACACTGTCAGTGTATTTTTGAAATCAGATACTACATTGCTTGCCCGGAGAACAAGCACATCCAGTTCAGGGAACATCTTTCTGTAGCCTCTTTTTCTTTCTCACTGCTCACTCCAAGAATAGGAGTGGCCACCCCCACCCCACCGAAACAAAATAATTTTTTTGTAACTTTTTTTTTTCTCCCAGAACATTGCTCATAGTAGCTGTTTTATAAATACTTGCTGCCTTGAAGTCATCTTACAGATAAACAAGAAGTATATTTAGTATCAGTCAGAAAGACGGCAATTAAAAAATAACAGAACATTTGAGAGGCAGCACAACACGTAGGTGAAGTGCAGGGCAGGAGGCTCGATCAGCTCTGCACTCGCAGTCTCAGGAAGAATGGGCCAGGGACACTGTGACCACAAGGATGTCCTGGAAGAACACTTCTCTTCTCCTGCAGAGGTCTCATCTCCTGTGGAGGGTACTTCCTTGTCCTTACCTGTTGGGCCTCTGTCCTGTCCCTCCCTCCCTTTCCTCACTCCTTCCCAGGATTGTAGGATACACAATGTGTGGAAATTGCTGAGTTTATCAACTTATTTTAAAATATGAGCTGTATGACATGTAACAGATGAGCTATGAAGCCAGTTTGCCAATCGTTAATTTCCACTATCTTCTAATGAAAGTTTAATGAAGCAAAAAGTCAAAGAGTTGACATGAATCTGCAGAAAGAGAAGTCACAGCATGGTTTGGGGAACAGTAAAGGAAGTTACAAAATATCACTGAACCCATTTTAATGTGCTTAGATTGCTGGATTCCTGCTGTGGCCACATAACAGACCAGCTGTCTGTGTTCCAGTAAGATGCTAAGGCTTTGGTTGGCATTGTTTGAACACACGGCAAGATTCCTCTCAGAGATTACCCTAAGTTCACATATGGAAATCTGCCTGGATTTTTTTTATATTTTCCAATTTTGAAAGAAACGCAGATAAAACTTCAAAGGAAAGGGAAAACACAAGGAAACACCTGAGAAATTTAACATAACCAACAAATGACTTACATTTTACGTAACTGAGGAAGTTTCTTAAAGATTCCTGTGGCTTCCAATACTGTGAATTCATTATTATTGAGACGGCTAGGGAAAAAAGACAGGAAGGTTTCATTACCAACACTTAGCAAGGGATTACATATTAGTCATACTGAATAAAAACAGTATTTAATGATCACTTTAAAATAAAATATAGTAGAAATATCACAGAGGATTTGTGAAAAGTACTATTATTCTTTTCCAAATTTCACTTGAATTTTAATTATGGAATAAAGCATGTTAAGGAGTGCAAAGTAAGGAAAACCAATAATCAAAACCACCTCTCAGTAACCTCTAGAACAAACTTTTAACTTGTTTTTCATGATTGTCCCTTCCCTTTGTATTTTTTGACATTTTTTTCCTAATCACTTGCTCCATATTTTTTTATACGCAGCTTTATTGTAATACAATTTACATCCCATAAAGTTCACCCTTTTCTAAGTGCACAGTTCAGTGGTTTTTAGTGTATTCACAAGTTTGATCAACCATCTCTGTCATCTAATTCCAGAATATTTTCACCAACCCATAAAGAAACACCATAATCATTACCAGTCCCTCCAAATCTTACCCACCCCAACCCTGCCAACCCCTAGTTTTGGCAAAAATTAACTTCCTGTTTCCATTGATTTTCTTATTTTGGACATTTCATATCAATGGACTCATACAAAATATGGCCTCTTGTGTTTACCTTCTTTTGCTTCGTATGATGTATTACACTTTCATTCATACTGTAGTATATATTATCAGTACTTCATAATTTTCATGACTGAATAATTGCATGGACGTTGTTATGGTTTGTATGTGAGGTGTCCACCAAAAGCTCATTTGTGAGACAATACACGAAGGTTTAGAGGAGAAATTATTGGGTTAAGAGAGCCTTAACCTGATCAGTGAATTAATCCCCTCCTTAACTGAGTGGTAATTGAAGGTAAGGTGTGGCTGGAGGAGGTGGATCATTGAGGACATGCCTTTGGGGTATGTATTTTGTATATGGCAAGTCGATCTCTCTCTGCCTCCTGATCACTGACCATCATGTGAGCTGCTTCTCTCTGCCACACTCTTCTGTCATGATATTCTGCATCATGTGGAGTCCTCAGGAATGGAGCCAGCAAGTGATTATGGTCTGAAACCTCTGAAACTGTGAGCCCTCAAACAAACATTTCCTCTTCTAAAATTGTTCTTGTCAGGCCTTTAAGTCATATCATAGTAAAAACCAACTAAAACAGACATACTGCATTTATGTATTTATCAGTTGTTGGACATCTGTGATATTCCACTTTTTGGCTATCATGAAAAATGCTAATATGAAGCCTGACATAAAGGTTTTATATGAATATCTTTTCAATTCTTTTGAATATGTAGGATAAAATTGTTGGATCATATGGTAAATATATTTAACATTTTGAGGGTCAGATAAACTGTTTTCCAAAGGGGCATGCGGATTCAATTTCCCTGACCTACTATTATCCTTTTTATTGTTTGTTTTATAAGCATTCCAATGAGTGTGAATTGGTATCTCACTGTGGTTTTAATTGACATTTCTCTGATGACTTATTACATGGAAAATTTTCTCATGTGTTTATTGGCCATTTGCATAACTTCTTTAGAGAAAGATCCATGCAGGTAATTGTGATCATATTTTAATTAGATAATGTAATTTTTTAAAATTGCTCAATTTCAAGAGTTCTTCATATATTCTGGATATAAATCCCTCATCAGATGCATGGTTTGCAAGTGTTTTCTTCCTAGTAATAAATTTATGTGCATAATTTTTTAAATTACCAGTTTTTAAAATGCAAAGAGAAACTTTTGCTAAAGCCTACATTACGGGCTAGTTTCTACTACAATTCTTAATTGACAAAATACCTATTGTGTATACTGCTCTTGGAAATAAGTATAATCCCTATGTGGCTAATGAAATAGAGTTCAGGGCTTTTGCTGCATAGTCCTTATACATTTCTCAAAGTCTTGGAGGTATTAAATGTTGCCATGAACAAACAAGTGCTAAAAATATCATGATAATCACAAAGGAGTTTGTTTCTGTCAACTTTTTGAAAGGCATTACTTTATTTTTAATTATTCAAATTGCTTAAAATTCATTAAGTAACAGGCATGTGTATAGGCACAGTGGGAGATAAACTATAACACACACAATCCCTGTCAGCCAGGAGCTATAATCTTGTTGAAGACAGAAGGAATACACACACACACAGACCAACCAACTCAGCAAAGCAGTCAATGACAGATACCAGATGGTGCCGGACATTCGTGTTGCTAAGATGTTCAGAAGATGATGAGATTTCACTAGTGTTCTTTTTTTTTTTTTTAATGTTTAGAACACTAACACTAAAGGTCTTACTTTTATAAATAAAGTCTGTAAGATAAACCATATATGGGTACAGGATCTGCAAATGATTCCACACACCAATTTGATCCCCTGTACTTGCTAGGTCTTATGTTAGACTTGTAAAACAAAATCTGCCTACACTCTGTCTCCTCAACTTTCTATTTTCTGTCATCCATTGTCTAGAAAATACTATCTTTTGTGCTTTAATACTTGCCAATCACTGAATCCTTGCATCTGTGAGTCAATAAAGTAGAAAAATAGATATAAAAAGATTCCCTGATTTGATTCACAATTAACTGAGATCTGGAATGGAGACTCTCAATCTACTTTATTTAGTTGTTGTAAGGCTTGTGTATGTCAAGAATGCACTAAGTTCTTAGAAATGGGTTTATAATAACAAATAGGAATCAAATAATCACTATTATTATTATTAGTAGTAGTGATTGCTCACTGAATTCTGAGAGAGAAGTTAATTTTTAACTGTGTTTTAGCTAGAAAGATGAACTAAGCTTCTGCAAAGAAGAGGTAGATCAATGTAATGTGTATCCACTAAAATTAATGTAATTATTGAGATTAAAAATGTCAAGACAAAAATTGCTATGCTCTGGCTGGGGTTGTGGCTCAGTGGTAGAGCCCTTGCCTAGCAAGTATGAAGCACAGGGTTCCATCTTCAGCACCCCATAAAAATAAATAAATAAAATAAAGGTATTAATTTTTTTTTCTTGCTCTGATGCTTTTAAAAAGCAGAATTTTTTGGAGGATGAACTTACAGCTCTGCAGTGTACTGGGGAATGTGGTCCGGGATTTTGGTGAGTTTTTGATTGGAGCAATCTACTGTGGTCCCTTCACAGCGGCACTTTTCAGGGCAAGCCAAGTCTGCAAAGCAGTCTCCGCTTAATTTTGATCGATAATCTTCTGTACCTATTGAGGATTCAAGCCAAAGAAAGAAACACTGAGTGCAAAGGTTAGAACATTGATTCATTTGTAGGAAGAAAAAAGTAAGATAACTATAGATTATGCAGCAGGGAGACAACTTAGGGAATTTTGGTCAATGGATGTCAGGAGAGGGTTAAAAGAAAGGCTTGAAATTTTCTGGAAAAAAGAGTGACCAGATTCACATGACAGGAAAACATTAATAAAGTTGAGCTTTTCACAGCTGTACTTTCTGCTGATCCACTGAGCCATTCTAGCCTATTTCACAGCTAATCACACAATGGCTATTAATTGTTAAAAAAAAAAAAAAGTTTTTTATTTTTTTTCCTGCTTCAAGAATTAAAAATGTATCTGGTAATAAACATATTCCTGTATGTCATTGTAAATTAGGGCTTTCAAGGCAAATGGATATACTCAGGTCTTTAAATTTCTGTGGACTTGTATTATTCTCTCCCTCTCACATAATCTTCAGAAAAGCCTAAAAAGCCCTCTTTTTTTTCTTTCTTTTTTTTTTCTTTTTTGATGAGTTTATAAAAAGAGACAAGTAAATCCTGACTTGAGCCTCAGCAGCTTGTCATGCTGTAGAAAGCTGCGTGACGTTCCATGGTGCTTGACGGAACCATGTTTTACTCATACCTCGCAACCACATGGTTAGATCAAGCACAACAGAAAATCTCGCTACATTATCACTACACCAACCACTAGGCCACAGGTAAGACCAGGAGGAAAGATGAAGGGAGCAGGAGAAAAGCTACAGGCGTTCTGGAAGTGTAATACTGTTTACATGACATGCATTCTTCCCGCAGAATGTTTATGACCATAGTAAGAGTATTACTACCGAAGCTTTCCTGGAAACACAAAGAAGGGGCTATACTGAAAGATGCCTCCAACCGTTCCTCAGAACTGCAGAATGGAAACCACAGCTTTCGGGAACAAGGTCCAGGAAGAAGTTGAACGTGAGCTACAAGGACAACAGAGAAGCTCAAAAGATCTGTGGTTTCTTCTTGAAAAAAAAAAAAAATAGGCGCAAAAGACCGAGACTAGAAGAAGATACACCAGGATTGAAAAGGGAGGACATTATGTTTCAGATCAGACACTTTTACTTACAGCCCCAATGGTGAATTCCTGTAAAAGTAAAGATCACCAAGAAGGAAAGAAAGACAGAGTAATCCCAATTAAGGTTAACAGACATATATACATCCAACTATGCTCTCTGTGTCCTTTCTTTAGTATAGCAACTATAGGGGAATAGCATGATGTGATGGGATTTGTCATGCTTTGTAAAAGTAATAATATTTTTTCTTAAAGCATGATGACTTTACAGAAAAAGCAATGGCATAAAGGATGCACAGTACAAATTAAGTTCTTGTCGATTCCTTTAAAGGATGAACTCTCTGTGAGAGACATTGTTTTGAGTTATCACTGTGATATGGAGGATGCTATATAGAATGGCAGCAGGCAAGTAAGCATATAAAAGTGAATGAGAAATTAATCACAGAGATCCTCAAGGACTATCATTAGAACATTTGGATTAATCTTTAGGTTGTAGCTAACATGCTTTTTAATGACCTTTCCAACTTGTAAATAATGTTCACTTAGCAGAAATGGAATCAGAATCTCATTGCAAGTGTGCAATGCCAATATGATAGTTATATTACCTCTGGCAATGAATGCCATAGTATTTACTGAGGATCTATTTTATTGTGCCTTTGACTTAAGTCCAAAGTGAAATGAGCATATACTGGTAACAGAGTCTAACTGACAGATTGACTGAATGTACTTCAAATAATCTGTAGCCATGGCAATAATATTTGCTTTATGGTCATTTGTTAAATAGACTCAAATTCTAATTAAGATTTCAGAAAAAAAAAGTGTAAAGAATCCTTTTGAGTCCTGGCATCTATAATTCTTATTTTAATTAATATAAATTTAATTATCAGAAAGTGAAAGTTAAGATGTGATATCATGTATAAAATATGTTTTCTAAAACCTTACTTGATTTTTTTTCTGCCAGTAAGAGGAAAAACTGTATCAGAATTATGAAAACAATCTGACTTTGTTTCCATTTGGTGAAATGGAAATATTAACTTCTAAGTTTTTAATAAAATATACTAAAATAGAATTTGAATAATTCAGTAGCAATTAAATTAACTGCTGTAATTTTTGGATTTAAATCATATTCAAGTATTACCCTATAGGTGGTCTGGGATTTAAAGTGTGGCTTTTTTTTTTTAATTTAAGTAATAGCTATCAGATGACTTTCCACTTAATAATTAGATCAAAATAATAATGTTTTGCCAGTGAAGGTCAATCAACCATTCATTTCAACATTTTACTGTGATACAGCCAAATATAATGTGTAAAATATTATTTGGACATTCGAATTTAGTAATATAACTAAATATATTAAGTGCATGAAATTATATAAATTATAATTCAATAATAGCAAAACTATATTTCTTTAACATACAGATCTAACCCAGAACTCCTCTTAAGAAAGTAAATATGGTTTTGAGCACTCTGCAAACATATTTTTTTTTATTTATAGCTCTCCAGACATATTATAGTCTAGAATATACCCAGAAGATGGTGAAAGTAGCCAATCAATGCTTAATATTTATTTTTAAAAATAATACTTTAAAACAAAAAAGTCAAGAGGCATTTTACACAATTGGCAGGCAAGGAAAAAAATAAGTAAAGGAACATAGTCTAAAGAGCTAGCTCTAGAATCATCAGTCTTGGGAATGTTAAGATTGAAGTGATAACACATTGCAATTACTTTTCTTAGAAACACTTTATCCATCTACCTAAATTATTCAAGGCATTCAGTGCCCATGAACTTCTAATGTTTTCATAATGGACATCAGTAATCTTTTATGGAGTTGCATTGTAACTCCAGATTTGCAAGATTGTAGTCACAAACTAATAAGGAATAAGTCACATAAATCAGCATGAGGCTGCTATTTTCATATAAAAAGTGAAGCAAAAGTAGGAAAAGAATTATTCTTTTTTTACATAAAAAGTTTTTTTAAAAAGTAAGACTTCTTTTGAAAATGCAATACTTCATGTCTCTAACTGATTTCATGTAGAAATAGCTCTTTGACAACAGAAGGCCTCTGTCTTTAAAACTAGCTCAGTAAGCTATATTTTAAAAACAGGCTGAAAGATCAGGTATACAATGTAAGGAGAAAAAATGATTTAAGTAGAAAGCCATAGGTTCAAACATTTTAGCTACTGTGATAAATTGTAGATAATGTGCCAAAGTGAAAGGGAGAGAAAAAAAGGTGGGAGTTTAATAATAAATATGTTTAACATCAGAAGCTGCATGCAAAGGTCAGGTTTTCAGGAAACAGCTACAAGTGATCTATGCATAAGTCAATCTACCTATAGAGTATTCACTGTAGTTTCAAAAGCATGCATATCAAAGTTTTAGAAGATATTTTATAGAGTGAGGAAAGGGTGTCTGCGGTTAGTCCTACCACCGAGCAAAACCTACCTGGAATGAAATACTGTTCTTTAGCTAAATAAAAAAAGAGAAAAAAAAATAGAAGATGCACCTGAATGTCAGCAAGCAGAGATACGAGTTATATTAGATTAAGAATGGATTCAAGTTACTATAGATTACTAAATAAAAAATGTATATTCACATCAGAGGCCAGAGTACAGTAATGCACAGTGAATAATAAGTGCATCTGTAATTACAGACAATAACCAGCCTCATTTTGATATTAGCATTTAGTATGAATTAACTGCTGAATGTGAATACACCTGGAACAGTTAAGCAGCATACTACTGAAAACATACAGAATTTGTTCTATCATCAGAATATAAATAAAATGAGATTAAAGGAAATAGTGCCTTTCAATGAAGCAATCACTCCATTTAATAGCAATTCAATACATTTATATTTAGCTTTTGGTAGATAAATGTAATATTCCCAAAAGGTTAAAACAGCCTTTTGGAAAAAAAAATAATCTCTCTTCACAATTCCATTCAAAATAAGGAAATGCAAAATGAGCAAGTGCATTAGGAGTGAGAGGCGAGGGATCAGGAGGGTTTTTGCCCCTGCTTCTGAGCCTCAGCACATCATGTCACCAAATCTCAGTTCATTTTCTGAAGAAATGAAAACATGATTGATTACTTGCAATTGGTCAATAGAGAACAGTACAACAAACACAACACTTAATATATTTTAAAGGCATTTCGAGTTAGATAAAAGGCCCTTGTTATGTTTGAATCCCAAGTACACAGTATGAAATACCCAGGCATCATTTGAACTTGGCCAATAGCCCATTTCTTCCACTAGATATAGTGTTTAAAATGTTATATAAAAAGTGGATTTGTACTCTATGAGTTGTGTCTACAATTCTCTTGTTCTTTACCTTCTTGGGCAAATTAAATGAAATATGAATCTATAATGTTTGGGAACCAGCCAAAGGGTGACTGCTTTCAGTAGTTCTCACATAACCACTGTTTTTGGTCACATTTTGGAAATGTCAAGAAATTACCTGAACAACGAAATTTCTTGCTTTTGATCTGTCCAATCCTTTTGTTTGCCAGGCGGCGGGGGCTGGTACAGCGGGCACCACTGGTCTCAATCGGGTTGGTATGGAGATAATCCGCCAGCCACTTGAGATGGCAGTCACAAATAAAGGGGTTCTGGGCCAAATGCCTTTCAGGAACACAGACAGAAGAGTTTTTCACACATGACTTCCATTGGACTCCACTCTCATATTGAGAGTGAAAACAACAGTCATCAAATTTGATGCAAATCATATCTACATACATAGTTTGAATGGCCCGGAGAGGCGAGAAGGTCCCCTTGGCGATGGTCTGAAGCTTGTTGTCATACAAGGAGAGAAGGTTCAAGTTGTGGAGATCCTGAAAAGCATCTACCCGAAGGCAGTTTATCTTGTTGGCATTCAATAATCTGTTTGATCAAATAGTTGCAGAATTAAAGTGTAGCATCTCACTAACTCACCTGCAAGAGACTGTCCTTGAGAAAACCCAGTCATTACTTTTAACCTCAAAACTAACATTTTAACTTTAATAACAGTTTAGATATCACAGGCTAGAGATGTGTAGTGTAGTAGAGACAGCAAAATTCACGTATGCATGAATACTTATGCATGCATTCAACAAAACTTATTAAGGGAAACTAAGGATGATGTAGAAAGAGAACAACAGACACAGAAAGGTGTCAAGGACACCATAAATATATGCTAAAACATTATTAACCCTGAGCTGCTCTGTGAAATAGTTCAGTCTAATTTCAGAATAGCATCTAATATAGTGGTCATTCTCAAACAGCTTAGATCATGTCACTCTTCTCTTGGAACCATGAAACATCTTCCTGTTGGCTCAGAGTAAAATTCTAAGTCCTCACTAAACCTTCAAATGTCACTAGCATCTGCAGCCCACTATTGGGTATTGAACAACCTCCCAATTCTCTCCTCTGGGATTTTCCAGTCCAGTTACACTGGTTTCTTTTCATTTTTTTTTTTTTTTGCAAGCTAGACTCCCTGGTGTCTGGATTGTTCTTCCCCTATGTCCTTCTCCCCCTAGAGTCTCCTCAAATCTGCCTTCTTCCAACCTATCCCAATCACTTTCTTTCATATACACTGTCTATCTTTCCCCTTTCCAACCCTTACATCTCTGTTCCCTTTATTCAATCTACATTTTCCATTTCTCTAAGTGTGTATTTCCTTCTGTTATATGTAATTTATTTATGTATAATGTTATTGCTGGGTGTCATTTGCATGACCCTTTCTCCTGGGATATGGATCTTTTCTATTTATTCCTTGACATTTCCCACATGCCTAATACATATTAGGTGCTCAATAAATATTGGTTGCATGAACACTTTACCCTCCACGAGAGTGACATGTTGCATTACAGCATCTAAGGCTCTAGTCCTGCATTGTTAATATTCATTTAATAAAACAGTCTACATACTCCTTTCTCCCACATATAGTATCAATGTTCTGTGGAACTGTGATATATAGATCATACTTCAGCAGGCATTATTCTTACAGGTTGTAGGTGACTGGGTCTCACTTTGGAGAATACATCTGTAACCTTTTCCAGAACATAATTCCACTGAACTGAAGTATTGCTCCCTCAGGTTTCCTTCCTAGGAACACTACTCAGTGCTGGTAGAATCATTACCTGTTTTGTTTTGACCCACTTACTTACCAAAAGACAGTCTGGCTCTCTTTGAGCAGGAGACTTTTTAATATTATGTTTCTGTTATCATATTTTTTAATGCTTTCATAAAATTTCAAACAAATATTTAACAAACATGTAGTATAATGGTTAGGTATGCCTCCTTATCTAACATACTGAAAATGTTTTCTCTTTGGCAACAACAAAAAAATTGTTTTCTTCAGTTAATTTAGGGTATTTCCACTTTACTTGGTTGCTTTGTTAGGTACTCCATGAACATATAAGGTTATGACTCACAGTGATCCTGTTTGCTCTTTGATCCCCCATCAGTAGCTGGTTTTGGACTTCCCTGTGATACATTTAGTACTTTGCTAACAACCCTGGAGGGAAGGTTTGAGGTAGGTTTTGATGAACTCCATAACTCTCCACTCCAGTCCCTGATATATTGCTGAAAATATTCCTCAATTCACAAGCTAACTGAATTACAGAGTTAAAAACTTTTAAGACAAGAAAATAGTGGGGAGCATGAAGAAGCTGAAAGAATATGTTCTTATGGGCAATTTGTACTCATTTTTAAATCAATATGGCCCGAGGAATAGGAAAATAATATTGAATAACAATTTTCTTTCATTTAGCTCCCTCTTCTCCCTAAAATCTCATCTGTTGAAAGCTAAAACACTCAACTTCACCAAGTTCTCAGTTACTTGCAAAGAGACAATCATGCCATCTTTTTTGATACTGGCCATCTTAAGAGAATATGTCTTAATCTAGAGATGCCACATTGTAAAGGTGGCTTTACAAGTCAGGTTCTATAGAGACACCCATGTTTTATTAACATATTTGTTACATTATCTACCAGTAAGTGTGTTTGGAAAGAAAAAGAAGATAGCATTTTAAGAGTGGGAGGCATATAGGGCATTGATAATAAGAGCAGTTGAAAGCAGTAACAGAGAACACTCCAGAAAAATGCAGAATAACAGAGAGGTAACTAGTAGATGATATTTGGCTATATATCATACTATACAAATGTATAAAATATTTATAGTGGGAATATAAGTATTCTATCAAATCAGAAGCAATACTTGATAAATTTACTGCAAAAAATAAATGTTTCAAAAAGAAAATGAAAACCCAAAAAAAGTCATCAGGTCACAAGATCAGTATTTATCATTACTTACTGATTTATTGTAAGAGAAAGAAGGTGAGAATTGGGGGTGAAGTGACTTAACTATTAAACATAGTTTAATAGTTTAATAAACTATGTTTACTAAACATAGTTTATTAATTAAACTAAACAGTTAAGATTAAATATGGTCTAAGTAACATTGGCTCTGTGTGTGTGAGAGAGAGAGAGATAGGCACACACACACACACACACACACACACACAGAGAGACTGAGTTGTGATATACAACTCTGCAGAATGATGAGAAAAGTCTAAGGCATGAGTAATAGAATATAATTATGTGCATATGCTTATCAAATTAGGAATGAGATCTACATTTAGGAAGACTATCAATTAGAAATAATATTTACTAAATTAATGCCAACAAATGACACTCACCAGAGAGAAAATAAATTCTAAACTTAAGAGTTTTAAGGGAGACTGACTATGAACCAGGTGAGAAAAAAGATTATGTCTTCTTATATTTGTATGAAAAGTTTCCAGGTAAGAGTCTTCTACAAGTGAGTTACTCTATAAGTGTTTAATGTTTCCAACAGAATTTGATGACCCAAAACCTTTTTCATATTTTTTTCTTATTTTACTTTTCATATGGTCAGACAGTACACAGGGTCAAATCTGGTTCTTATAAATACATATAGTGAATTCTTTATTTAAGACAAATGGATAGCAGTTATTGAGAAAGAAATATGGTATTTAAGAATACTATTGAGGACTTACACACAATTCAGTACAGATTAGTTTGAGGACTACTGCTATTTTATGACTCACTGCAAAACATCCTGGTATTTGGAGAAGTTATTCTAGCCCTCTTGCTCCTGTAGATTCTTTGGACCAAGGTTGACAAGACTATTAATATATCTCCTTTTTTCTACTACTGGTTATATCAAAATAGATGTTTCACAAGCAGAGGGTTTATACAAACATTATATAAGAGAAGAGCCAGGATGCATACATTCATGACCTTGTAGAGAGAAATGTTTGGGGACCATTCCAAAGAGCTGTGTTTTCCAGTAAACAGCCATCATCAGTATTAGAGCTACGAGACTGTTTTCTATGTCATTAAACTACAGCATTGTAGGTCAAATCTTTCTGAAGTCTCCGTGAAAATAGAGGGTAAACTAACAAATTGTAATATTTGGTTCAATAGATCTAAAACAATCAAATACTTACAGTAGCTGTAAGGAAAATAGTCCTTCAAATAAACTTTTGGGAAGTTCTGTGATTTTATTTCCATAGAGAACACTGAAAAAAATGTTTTAGATGAAAAATCAGACACTAAATAAACATCACAAGTACCTCTAAAACATACTTATTAGAATATAGGGAAGGTTAATAGGCACTCAATATGTCAAAAAGTTACAGTTGAATAAAATAGTGATTTGCAAATAATTTTTTTACCCGCTTACAGAGCATATGAATGACTACTGTACAAAATTTGGGAAACATAAACAAATATCAACACAAGTTAATAAAATTCATAATTTAATTGCCCTTCTACAGAAATATTTGCCATTAAATTGTCATGTGTTTCTACATGACACACACATACACACACATACATGTTTCATATGTAATAAGATATGGTATGTAAAATAAAGATAAAGAGTATATGAAACAAAGAAAAACACTGCATGTAAAATCCATTTCTCATTAATGGGATGTTTGGGATTCATGATATTGGTGAAGAGTAAGCAAAAACCCATAAAAATAGAAAGGCTTTTATTTTTAAGCATATAAATTGTGTGGTGGAGAAATGAAAGATTTGTGGAGACAGTAACCATGAATATAGATTTATGAAAATTTTTGAAATATTTATTCCCCAAAGAAATATGAGCCACCATGCATTGTTAAGGTACCCGCTTCTGATCAGACACTAAGTGTAGCCAATAAGGGAGAGAACATGGCAACAACCTCAGTATCCCTAGTCCCCTAACAAGGCTTCAGCACACAGAGAGGTTCTTACTGACCAGTGAAATGATGACAAGTTATCCGAGAAACAAATCAAGGAGTAAAGTAACCAAAAAAAAAAAAAAAGTGAAATGAGAGGATTTCAAGAACAAAATAATGGAATGTAAACTGTTGGTGCATCATGCCTACTATTTGACAACAGGTCTGTAGTAATGCCTGTCTATTTTGTCTCCACCCCAAGTTGGGGTGTCAGAAGTATGTGTACAAGAAGAATGAAATTATATTGTGAGGAGACATTTTGGCTATACACATCAAGACCCATAACAACACTTACATAAATTTTAATTTAGTAGTTCAAGTCATAGGAGTTCAATGTAAGAAAGTAAACAGAGATTGCACAATATATACAAAAATGTTAATCATTCACAATTTGTAACATTGAAAAATTAAACACAGATAAAATGTCTCAAATCTTCAAATAGGGATCTGTGAAATACATAGTTTACTATGATTTAAAAAATCAAATTTGAAGGATATTTAGAGATATTAAAGTGATTATGATATTTTAGGTAAAATTACAAAAACAAAGTAATAGCCAGGCACTGTGGTTCACAGCTGTAATCCTAATGAGGCTGAGGCAGGAGGATTGGAAGTATAAGACTAGCCTTGCCAACATAATGGGATCCTGCTTAAAAATCACAGAGTTCAGTAGGCACTAGGTACTTCTCTGTGAGGTAGCTCAGTGATAGTCCATCGTATATTAAAAAAAAAGTTAAAAGCCAATAATAACAAAATATTATGATACAGTGTTATATTAATTTTTCTCAATGAATATGCATACATACAGAGGAAAAAAGTTCTTTGCCATCTAGAGGTGATGTGAATTTGAATCTATATGACTTTTCTGTATTTTTATACCCTCTACAATAAACATACATTAGTTTAAAAAATCAGAAAGATGATCTTTTGGAAAAGATAAATGATGTCATAATATATGAAGAAAAAAAGGTGAAATCAAATTCTGAATAATTGATATGTCTGGCAGCAGTACATGATTTCTGTCTGAAGGAAGAAAATAACAATATAAGAGGTATGTCTAGAAAGAAGGAAATTCTGTTCCCCTTTTAAGATGTCAAAGAGGTGGGATATATTACCAAATATGAAGAAAAATCAAGGGAATGAATAAAGCTGGGTGCCAGGCAGTATAAAGAGACAGTCCATTTGTTTAAATTCCAGGGTTACAGCTACGTAGTGCAACATAAAATTTCATTTGTATAGAATGTAGATTTTTTAGGAAGATAAAAGAAATAGAGAAAAAAGCAATTAAAAAAATATAAGAACAAAAGGGAGACTTCTATGTTGTTAGGGAAAAAGTGGAAAGGAATTTAAGAAAAGGTAAAGAAAGCATGAACAAATGTATACCTTGAGGTCAAAAATAGGATCAGAAGGGGCCGTAGGGGACACAAATAAGCAGATGACACCAATTCAGGACATTCAATTCAATGCCATTTCATTAATTCACTCCACAACATACACCATGCTCTTTCATGTGCCAGTAGCTTTGCTAGATTTTAAATGTGATGTTCAACTAAATTGAATCCAGCTATGATTTTTGTATGTCCATCATTTGCCCACACATGAGGCACTGATATGATTGAGATGAATAGGTGTGGCTTCTAAAAGCAACCCAAAAGAGTAGTTTTAAATACTGAGATTCACATATTGAATCTGTAGAGATTTAAAAGAAAACAAAGATGCATATAAATTGTGGGAAACTTCATAAAAGTCGAGGGATGAATGCTTTAGTCATTTGTTACTTGGGTCATTTTCTTCTATTGTGGGCGACAGAGACTGAGAGGAGGACTGATAGGAGTGGTCTCATAATTATACCATGAAATTTGTTCTCCAACAAATATCTGTTTTCTTAAAGACCATGCTAAAAAACTAATAAACATCCATTGTTAATGAGACAAAATAAGTACATGGTGAAAAAGAGAAGGAAAATACGTAAGGATGTAGGAAATCTAATGTATGGATGTCGTTGGTATATGACCTATCAACTAGAAAACTATTATAATAAAAATGTGAAGGAAATGAGATTTCTTTACAAAAAAAGTATAGGAATAGTAGGTAAGGGTTTTCCCCCCAACAGTAATGGAATCAAAATGACACCAAGGAAAATGAATCAAAAATATAAAAATCCAATGACCAGAACAGTGAAAATGGGCGGTAGTCTTCTTCAAGAAGACCAGTGAGAAATTGTGCCACAATTTAAAGAGGGAAAGAAAATTTAGAAATAAATTGAAAGATAGAAATTTATCTCAGTTGAAAAAAAAATAAGTGAGGGGATTTGGATAATAACATCCAAATGCAAAGAATAACACCTGGGTAGCTTCTCTAGTTTCTTTATGCATGGCTTACATTAAGTTACTACATGTAAGGCACAACTATGCTGATAGAGATTTTTTCAATGGTCCTTTGGAACAATTGGGAAATATTAGGGCTGCTTTTGTAGCTGCTATTAGAAGGAAAATTTAGAAAGCTAGGCCCAGGTAAACACTAATGGGTTTAAACATTAAGGTAGCAGGAGACAGCAACTGATCCTGTCCAGTCTGTATTTTCCTGCCTTGTTGAAAACTGGCAGAAGACAGAACTACTGAAGAGAAAAAAAAAATGTCCAACATAGAAATCTATAAACTGCCTTTCCTGAAAAAAATATTTATGGTCCAATTTGAGATTCCTCAGAAGCATAGGAACAGAGCTAACCTATGATCCCACTCTTGGTATTAATCCTAAACAACAAAATCAGCATACTATAGTGATACTTGCATACCAATGTTCATAACAGCAAAATTCACAATAGCTAAGTTATGGGCCCCAAATAGGTGCTCATCAATAGACCATGATAAAGAAAATATGGATAAAGAAAATGTGGCATATATACCCGATGATGTTTTATTCGGCCATAAAGAAGAATGAAATCATATCATTTGCTGGTAAATGGATGAAACTGGAGAACATCATGCTAAGTGAAAAAAAAAAAAAAAACAACAGACTCAGATAGTCAAAGATTTTCTCTCCTATGTGGAAGCTAGAGAAAAAAACAAGAAAGGGAGTTAAAAAAATAGGATCTCTGGAAAATTCAAGGGAGACCAGTAAAGCAGAGAAAGGGGAATGAGGAGAGAACATGGGGAAGTGTTGGAAAACAAAAAAATCTACCATATTATGCTATGTCCATGTATCCTAATTATATGCATATGTAATTATAATGCACTAAAAATAATAGTAACAACAATAATAAAGATAGATCCAGTATAGTAGAGCAAATAGATCAGGGGAAGGAAGGAGGAAATGGAAAGAGAAGGTACTGGGAGATGAGATTGATCAAGTTATATCACGTGCCTGTTTGAATATTGGCATGATAAAACCCAGTATCATGTATAATTGTGGTGCACCAATAAAAAAAGAGTGCTATACTTATAAATTAAAAACAATGATATATATGTTTGAAAAGTATAATATTATGCAACTTTAAAAGAGTACAGTAAAGAGAAGGCAGAAGATAAAATTAAGATACTACATTTACGTTTTCATAGAATCTCAAATAAGGAAATGCAACATGCTGGTCAGAACCCTTAACATTAATCCAGGAAAAGACTGTAGGAAATGTAAATATAGCAATCAAACATCTTACACATGGACCCCTAAAGAATTTGGGAGACAAAAGTGAACAATGATAGTTGGCAAGGGGTTAAACAAATGTGAAAAGAGGAAATATTATTAAGGCAATAAAGTTTAGGAGTAAACTCTGCAAGAAAACAGATAGAAATAAGAATTCTCCACTGGTTAGTCTCCTTCTTGACATTTAATGGTTGTCTTTGAAGCACAGATACTTGAAGGACCAGGAACCATTACAGCCATTTGACTTTGTTCTGTCCTTCCCCATGGCTGGGGGTAGTATTGCTTACTAGGTACACAGCTCTCTTTGGACAATCTAACTGATTGAGTTTTATAATTAAATTTTTTATTTAATAACCTGCCAGCCCACCCTGAGAGCAGTACACGACTATACTTTGTATTTTCTGCCAACTACTATTCCTCTCACCTTGAGCTTCCTCTAACCAAATCTCCAAATGTCATAAAAGGAACACAAATGAATTTGAGAAGTTTTCCATCTTCTTTTTGCCAAGAAAACTGCAGCTTTCCGGGCAGAACAACATCCTGAACATCCATGTGCCCAGATAAGCCTGTCTTCTCTCCCATTGCTGTCAGAGAGAGGAAAGTGTTCCACCAGCTTGAGGTGTTCTTCTGGGACTTGCACAATGTGTCATGGTATTGAAACTGGTTCCCCCTTACTCTTGAAATTCTGAACTGGTTGGCAGTAATTTACATCAGTGAGACCCCTTCTCTAAGCACATACTCAACAATAGGAAGCAAGCCAGCCTCCACTTGGAAACTAGAATTTGATAGAAAGGTTATTTTACTTGCTGGACTTCTAAAAGCTTTTACCAGTTTGAAGGAATAGCATATTTATGAATTTATTTTAGATCATCTTTAATTTGCATGGTTATCTCCCTGAAAGTCTGCTTGACATTAACAAGCCCCAATTCTTTCTTATCTTTGTTCTTTCAGAGATTAAAATTCCTTCTTTCGGGGAAACCTGAAGGTGATACAGCAGGAGAGGAGGGCAGCTCTCTCTGGTCATCCCCTTACCCCTTTCTCAGCAAGACATCGAGCATCATCTAAAAGGAGCAATAACCTAGCAACAGAGCCTAAATGTTCAGAGACCACAAATACAGTAGTTCCTTCAAAATAAATATTTTCCCCTTTATTTTTGAGAGAATAAAGTTGTCCAAAAAAGGAGCACTTTACTCTTGTTTTGTTAGCAAATTATCGGACTATAAGTTATCCCCAAAATGGGCTAATTTTAATGACAGGGGGAAGTTCTCAATGAAAATGATGAAATATTAATAATAATAGTATTAATCATTAATAATTAATAACAAAAATTTAAGATAGTATTTTTGTCATGCCTAAATTTAAAAAATGCAACCATTTTTTGGTAGGTTCTGCTTCTCTCAACAAAGCCATCTATACTTACAGTGAATTCAGAGAACGCAGTCCTTGGAAAGCATCAGGTGCAAGTTCAGAGATCTGATTATTGCTCAGGTCACTAAGATCAGAAATGAGGTTAGGTTAAATTAAACAGATGTCAGTGAAGTTTACTGTAGGAGAAGGCTATTTATGTTTTTTGTATGTTAGTTTGCACCTATCATTGCATGTATAAAGTTTGCAATATTAAACGACAAGAATTCTGAATTCAAAGACAATAACTTTTTCTAACCAACCATCTGCTATTTGCTTAAATTATCATTATGATTTCCAAGTCTTATTTTGATAATAAAGCATCTAAGAATTTGCATACTATCAGCATACATTCACACTTGTGTAAATCAATATGCTAGATGACCTAGAATTTTAAAATTACATGGTCTACTTATTTGAGTTCAAAATGTTATTATTGGACTAGCAATCAGAAGATTACATCACTTAATATTTAAGTTGTCAAACCATCCAATATTCATACATCGATTTTCTTGCATGGTCATGACTTGCATCATTTTAATAATTATATGTGTTCTACAATGTTGTCCACTTACATTCTTCTAAGCTTTTTATATGGTGAGAATGCTCCAGGAGGAATGACCTTGATTGAGTTCTGTTCCAAACGTCTGCAATGAAAAAACCCAATTTTTAAATGGAAACATGAACTTTCAGATATGTTACATCAAGCTCAGGATCCATGCCAAGAGGTAAAGCACTAAAAGTGCTTTTCTTGAGGACATTTTCTTTTTTCCTCTAAAATTATTTGTGCTATCTCCTAAATGTGGAACAAGATTGAAATTAAAAATAAGACAATTTAAAAAATAATAAAACTATTCAAATTTTTAGGCATCACAGGTTATCATTTGTAACTGGATTCTATATAAAAAAGGAAGCAATTTTAAGAAACGAGCATGGGGGACATTTTAATAACATACATATAAGAGAAATATGCAGTTATATATATCATATGTATATGATATACCTTTAGAGATAAGCATAACTCTTCCACAAAAGAAGTTACGGTTGAATATTAAATTTTATAAACCCCCCTGTTTTCATACCAAAAAAAAATAAAATTATAGGTTGAAAAAATTGTTATAGTCACAAAAGTAACTTTGAAGCTATTTAGGAGGCAACAATTTAAATTTTAAACCCGTAAATGCTATAGACATTTTCAGTGAGACAATTTGGACTCTGGTCGATTCATTATGTGAACAATTCACATAAAAACCAAGGCAGCAATGTGCATTGAAACACAACCAAAGAATTTTTATGATACACTAAAATTACAGATTTGAAAATAGCTCTGTGGTATCTTCTACTCTATGATCTTACTATCACAGAAAGCTAAGAATTTATGCATCTAATTATGAAAGACACCAATATGATTTCATTAAGTCACTTGGTAAATATTTTTTATCAAATGATGTTTCCTCTTAACCTCATTCCTTCCATATAAACATCCTCAACACATTTCCCATCCTCTTTGTCTCTTCTGTTGTGCTCACTGCAGTGAACCACACAGCCCAGGTTCACTGGCCAACTGGCCTTCCGTGACATTTAGCATGTGGTAGGCACTAGTGGAAGAGTGAAGGGTGGGGGACAAAAGCCTAAGAATTCCTCCATTCCTCTAAGAAAACTCACAGCACTCACCTCCTCTTCTTCTTAATTTCAGCTCCTGCCTCACTCACCTCCTAACTTGTTAACACTACCTTCTTCTTTGGTCTTTATGGTCTTGGGAATTTTTTTTCCCTGCGTCACCCATGTACAACTCTTGAACCTATTCCTTATATTAAACCCTCCTCTTGAACGACCTGACACATCCTATATTCTCTTGCCTGGATTAAAAATATATATTTACATACACATAAATAAAAATAAATATGGGTACATATTTATTTTGTGTATATATGTGTGCATTTAAATATTATTTTACATGCATTTTTTTTTTCTGCTCAACAGGTTGTTACATCTCAAGGGGCAAATTTACCTCAGGAGACAAGAAAACAATCATCTGAAGAAAATATGGATTTGCATCTGCATTATTTATCTGGATCTTAAGAAAGAGGACATTTTTCTAAAGCTTTAAATATAGCAAAGAGTGTCTAAATCATTTCACTATTCCATTATTGATTAGTATGTCTTAAATAGATGGTTTAGAGAAGCTTTTTTTTTTTTTGCCTTGATCCATTCTTATAGTTAAATTTTAAGAAGTTTAAAACTTAATCAATAAAAATACAAAGAGCATAAGATCTAGATGGAATACAGTTGACCAAGAGACTTTCTCTGAATCTCAGCCCATGAAACTTCATATCAATGTGTTAAAGATCTGTTCACAATAACACAGTGCTATCATGAGGAAAAATTATGACCTCTTAGTGAGTAGTAGATTTCTTTAAAAGCAATATACAATTTGATTGCACAGTTACTTTTTATAAATACCATTTCAGATCCTTGAAAATAATCTTTAAAAAAAACCACTGATAATTGTCCTTCATTCATTCTCTAACCCTACAAATAATTGGTGTTTCTTGTATAACTGGAAACCCAGATCAAAAGCAGACATATTCAGATCATCATGGAGGTTTTATTGATAAAGAGTCTGAATTTTCAGTTAGATTTCAAAGATGATTCTTCAATACAAGTTTTTGTTTCAAAATGCTACATTCAGTACTGAGACTTCTGAAATGTAAATATCTTGAATTCACAGATATGGACAAGCTAATACTAATACTACCATTTAATATGACTCCAGGTCTTTCTTGGAAAATTTAAAAGGCATTTATTATGTCACAGTCTCTGACCATAGCATAATTATAATGACCACTCAATCATTATTCTATTGGCAATTAAATACATGTTGTTACAATAATTTATGTTTAACTTAGTTAATTATATTGATATATATCCCTATTAAAGTAACAAACATATATATATGATGAGTACGGCCAGTTTTTATAGAAAATGCATACTGAAAATGCTATAAAACAAAGAGAATGTATAATGAAGCAGTATGCAAAAGTAATACTTCAAACATAATATATTACTGCTGTATGTATCATTGCAATGTACCATGATTTCATCTTTAGGTTGAAAATTGCTTCACTTACAATATACCTAATAGAAAGCAAAGCGATGGCATGTACAATGTATTTGCTTTCTTTTCTTTATTATCTATTTATTTTCACACTTTTTCAGGAAAAGTATTTGAAGAAAAACTTATACTGTTATTTAAACTGACTCAGCAGCTAATTGTTTTTTTATTACACTGTCTCAGCAGTCCATTAAGGAAAAAAAAACATAATTGCATGCTTCATTCCAAGAGAAAGATTCTCAAGTAGGAAAATATACTACTAACGACAGATGTCAAACAAATTTTAAAAATTGCAAAATGCCTGTTGTCTCTTCTTTAAGAAAAACTTTAAGGATTTTAGAATAAAGTATTTTTCTTTCTCATTATGAGAACTTTAGAATATATTTTGTAAACTATAAATAACACTCATCACCCTACAATAAAAGAGAGGAAAGTGTTTAATATAAAAAATAAGAAACATTCAAGTTTTGGGTTAAGGTAAAAAAAAAAAGCAGAGCTAGTTTTGCTATCCTCTAATCTTCTGCTTTAATGGCAAAAATCTGCTGAATTTTAGAGAGTGCAAATTTGAATCCATTGTTCCATGAAGAATCTAATTAAAAGCATTCCAAGGTTACAAAAACAGATAGTATAATGGCTAAGATATATTTGCATGCTGAGGATAAAGCCTGCCCTCCACCCAATTTAAAGCCTTCCAAATGCCAATTCTTTGGAGAAAAGACAGTATTTTGATTTTGAAAGTAAAAATAGATTTAGCAAGTGAATAAGAGGAACTTCCATGTATTGATACTACAAAGAAGACTTTTTCATGTCAATGTGATCAGAACCTCTTTGTTTAAGAATTTATGTCATCAAATTAAAAATATTTTATCATTGTATACATATATGCATAATTATTTACTTATATGTTTATATACTGTCTATATAAAATCAATGCAATGACTGTTAGAGCTTCATCAAAATTAGAAGGAAATTTTAGTTGCCTTCTCAATGAGATGAGAAAGCGAAGACAGTTTTCTAATTACTTCATTAAAAAAACCTCATATGTGTTATGTATGTCCTTCCCCTTTCCCATCCATATATTTTTCTCTCTTGCTCTTTAATTCTTGTTATTTTATAGTAACAATTTTGTACATTTACAGTTCCTAAAGAATGAGAAGCAATTTCAATATAGCACTTTCTAGTTGTATTTCAAAGATTATAAACAATGGAAAATCATGTACTATCCCTCTGCTTTAATCCTGGGAACACAGCAGGTACATTGTTCAACCCAGTGAATTCCAATTCGGCCACATGTGGACTGAAGTTTTCTGTGGCTTATAAAGTTCTCTATAGTGGCTATTAGTGAGCAGATCTCACACCAGTAAGGCATAGACACATACTATGAGTGGGCAATTTTAAAAAATCCCAAACTAATTCTAAAAATTATTATAAGATATTAAACAACATTATTCTATTTTAAATTATACTCTCAGGTCACAGCATTAAATTCTTACACATTATTTTCAATTCAAACTATTTTGAGAAACTGAAAAAAAAATAGAGTTTACATGCTAAATCTTCCACAGTGCTTCTTAATACCTCTTTAAATGCTTTTTATATGTGTTTACATGTAAATTTTTAACTTATTTTCCTTAATGATTAGAAGTATAAGATTTGGACTTATGTAGACTTGGATTAATTCTGAACCTGTCATTGATTAGTTATAAAAGCTTTTTTCTTTCTCTCTATTTTAGCATCTCTTTGTGAAATATGGAGAAAACAGAGTTTACCATAATGTTTTGGTAAAAAGTACATGAGATGTAAAAAAATACATGGCATTTTTCACCATAAAATTAGTAAAATAATTAAAATTTGAGAATATGTGTATTCATATATAAATATACATAATATATAGCATTATATGATTAAAATATCTACAACATATATTAGCAACACATACTTTTACATAAAAGAAAAAAGCTATTTCGTGATTTGTTCTCTAATGTGAAATAAATATGTGTGGTTCCAAACAAATATTTTTAAACCAATTAGAAGTACAATTTTGCAGATAACTATATATTAAACATGTACACATGTACTTACAATACACACTATTTCTAATTTCTATGATCAACATGATTAAACTGTAACACTTTCTATAATTTGAAGACTGTCTTAGAAGCTCAGAAAGTTTTTACAAACCCAGTAAAATATGAATTTAGATTGATTGTGTCTGAAACATACAGCCCAGATGCTGATTATACATGGCAATAAAACTGACAGTTCTTTGCATTTTCTCCATCTGCTTTTAACATAAATGGCAAAAACAGCTGCCAGAGAATAGAACATGAATTTAATGGGGCGAGGGGAGGGGAGGTGCAATGACTTCAGCTTCTGAATCTTAAATTGCTCAATGTAGCCAATATATTTTCATCATAGAAAACCTCAGCCCAGCATTTGAAAAAGGAAGAAACATCAGTATTCCTTTAACATTAGGGATCCTCTTACCTAGTTATAATAATTCCAAAGTAGGCACATTATATTTCTGGAAAG